GTGTCGAGCCGCGCGCGTAGTCGAAGAGCCTGCGGAGGAGACGACAACTTCCGGTAAATAAGTGTTCTTCCGGAAAATTTCAAGCATCGGCCAAAGCGAAACGCAACCCGAAGCTGTCCTTGCACAAAATCCGAAGATGTGATAATTTGATAAACCAGAAGATGTGATAATTTTGACATACATGTTTAGCTGGATAACTATTCTCGAGTATATGTTGATATAATGCACAATACTTCGTATGCATAGCATGGGAATACCGCGGCCAACTTTCACTTGTTATCTATTATAATTACTGACCCAAATCAAAAGTAATTATTTTCGGCTGGAAGACTACTGTACGTTGCTGCTTGTCGGGACCGTATGACAATGAACCTATCCAACGTTACACTAGACATTTGTGAGGACATGCATATAACCATAGGCACTGTAGTGCATTGTGATGGAACAGATTTCAGTTTAATTAATCGCCCTAAATTAAAATCTCCACAAGCGGAGATCAATTATAGTGTTCTAGTTTACATATTATCATTAATGATAAGGTTTACTCAAATAGCGTATTGGATAAACACGGGAATAGAACTTATGGTGTATTCTGCACATGCTATTTCTAGGATAAAATCCCACAAGCCCAAACGAAACTATTTCTCTATAAAATTGAACTGAAAAGACTCACAGCGACCGTTTCCAACAGTGCTTCAGGCACCCGACGACACCGTATGGGGGGCCTTTAGCACTGTCACCTTCTCATCTTGGGATGTTCACGTTATCGCGTGTACATGTCAGGGTGACGAAGATGCATTATTGCTAATAATGTCTGTGTGCACTGATGCACGCTGCATTATTTTTAATAATGTTGTGTGCTATTTTAACGCGTACGTAGAATATGACGCGTATAAACATTTACCCCTGAGCCGGAATTTCCCTATACAACCAAAAAGGCCGCTCCCGTTTTTCAGTAGAACGTTAAATGAAAACTTCTCGACATTCGCTGATATAATGCAGAGAGAAAACAATAGGTTTGATGAGGGCCAGTAATTATTATCAATAAAAAATTAAAACGGGGCTTTGATTAACTGATTCACCATTTATACTAGTGAACTATTAAACTATCGTGATTTACACAATTTTTGGATATTTACCAGACGATCCCCTATCCACCGACCCGAGGTTAACGCCGAGTCGGCGTCTTGTTTTATCTAGTCTGAAGATGTCTTAAGTTAAAGACGAAACGTTACATTAAAATTCTTTACAATCTTTTAAAACTGTTTTAATGGCTTTGTTAAAAGTTATATGTCGGGCTCTCATATTTATTATACGAATTCGTTTTCCGCCTGGCAAATCTCTGGCAAGAATTCGCACTGTTTATGTAGATATTTGGCCGCATACACTATATTAAACGCTATATTAATACCATAGGCATATAGCGTACTGAATTACATTCAGAGTGCCAGGCGTAGTGATCTGTAGTTGATACCACCCCATTATATAAAGTTTAACACATTACTAACAAACGTAGTGGACTTTTAACGAATGCTATCCCACAGTTAATAGAAATAGGAGGCTAGCCGTAGCGTTATAGTGTATAAAACGCCGTGTTCAACAATATAATAGTTACGCAATTGATGATGATTATGTGAGGTTGGATTATGTGTTGATCAAGTGAAAGATCGTATTACAGACGCGTATTGTATACATGATATTTTCCTCTTTCGTGACTTGACTATATTTAGCTACATTTTCAGTTAAGTTGAAAAATATATAGTGAAATATGATAAAAAAAATGCATGTATTTCAAAAAGTTACAAAAATTTTTTTTCTAAAAAAATTATCAAAAATTTTCCGCTAATCATGCAATTTTTTGATGTTCCCTTTGGAGTATTCCGCCGTGAAATCGCAGGAAATGGCCATTCCAGACTTCTAAAATTCAAAATTTCCCGAGGGAGCATGCCCTGGACACCCCTTGTAACATACGTCAATGCGGAACATACGTCATAGCGGAAGTAAAATGGACAGAGCACGCTGTTGTTGTCTTGATAGTGTACAAAATGTAGGGTAAAAATATATATGTTGTTTTGTATGGTTTTATATGCGATTGTTTTTACCGTTTCGATGAGAAATACGAGAGAAGTAGAACGAGTAAAGAACGATTAACACATGGCGCCCAACGTGAAACATATAAGTTATTTATTCGAACTGTTTTGAGCGAAAAATTCAGTCAAATGTGGAAGAAAAATTTAGAGCGACTTCGCGCCAAAAGAGGCGGTTATCGCGGCGTGACAACCAAGCTGATAGAAGAATCACTCGAGATTCTTGAGTCAACCGATGTAGATATTCAACGATGCGAAGTTATTTCAAAACAACTTGAAGATAAAATGACGATTTTAAAAGAATTAAACGACGAAATTCTTGGTATAAATGCGAAGTAAGCGAGATAGAACACGAAATCGAAGAAGCGGCGGTCGTTATTGACCGAATTCTCAACACGAAAAGCAAAATCGAAGCAGCAAAGAAGAGGCCAAATGTGGGAAACGTTAGCGTTGTCACATCACCGACCATTAGTGCCACAACTCAAATCGAAAACAGCTCGAATATGAACGAAAATACAGGTAATTTAGCGACCAACAGTGAAAATAGCGTGACAGATAATAGTGTAAACAGTGCGAGTAATGTTGACACTAATACGAGTAATATTGCAACGAGTAATATTAATACGAACACGAGTTCGCCGAATGTCAGCGTCCCCGTTAGTCCTGTCAGTGTGCCAACATCGTTGACATTGCCGAGACTGCCAAAGCTCGAACTTCCAAAATTTAGTGGGAAAGTTACTGAGTGGAGTTCTTTTTGGTACTTATATAACACTGCAACACATAGCAATGCTAGTGTGTCTAAAGTAAACAAGTTCAATTATTTATTTTCCTTGCTTGAGGGGAATGCTGCACGTTCAATAAAGGGACTTACACTTACATCTGCCAATTATGATGCAGAAATCGAAATCTCACAAGAAAGATTTGGCAAAACACAGCAAATTATAGCTGCACACATGGACCAAATCTTGCAAATCCCAGCATGTTCTGAAGGCCGAACCGGACAGTTAAGATTTATTTTTGACAAAATAAGTCTGCTTGTTCGTGGACTTGCATCACTGGGAATTGCCGCTGACCAATATGGTAGCTTATTGATCCCTGTAATCATGTCCAAATTGCCAAGCGAAATTAGGTTGCTTGTAGCACGTAAAGCAACAGATAATGTTTGGAAAATCGATGATTTGCTCAAAACTATAAAGACAGAGGTCGAGGCACGAGAGATGAGCGAGATGGCTCGCTCGAATGCAAGTGAGAAACCCCTCAACAAAAAACAGGGCTCACTTCCAACTGTGGGTTCCTTTGTCGTGACAAAAAATGGCAAGAACGGTGAAGGTAGTTTTAAGGTTAGATGTGCATTTTGCCATGAATTACATTATTCTGCATCCTGCGAAAAGGTAACAGACAGAGATAGTCGATTGAAACTTTTGCGGGATTCGAATCGTTGCTTTGTTTGTCTAAAGATAGGGCACCGCGCAAATACGTGTGATACCACAAAGAAGTGTCGACATTGCTCTGGACGACATCACCAATCTATTTGTAATAACCCTAGCAACAACCGTCAACAATGTGATGACAAGAAAGTCCCCGAGAACCGAAATTCTAATAAAGGTCCCGAAGGTTCAGACACTCCCACTACCGCAGACGTTACCCAGACAACCAAAGGAAGTGTTTTGTTGCAGACCGCCAGAGGTACTGTATCGAATGGGTCAAGATTAGTTCCTGCCCGTATATTGTTTGATACCGGAAGTCAAAGGTCTGACATCCGGAAGTCGCTTCAAAATCGATAGGTTAAACCCGATTGGGAAAGAAACCCTTCAACTAAACACCTTCGGCGAAAGCAAGTCTAAACGAGAAAACAAGAACAATGGCGAAAGTATAGAAATTACTGCAATTGGTTTTCCAACGATTTGTGCACCCCTTCCCGCTAAGGTAAACATAAGGATGAGCTAACTACTTCGTGATCAGGATGAGCTAACTACTTCGTTGAAGCGTTTTTGGGAGGTGGAGAGTGTTAGCAGCGATTCCATCGACCACGAGATCCCACCGAAGCAACAAGATTTTGTTCAAAATATTCGATTCACAGGAGCACGATATGCAGTTGGCTTGCCATGGAAGGGCAATGATCACAACATCGAGGACGATTATGAACTGTGTCGTAATCGGTTAAAGTCGCTGCATCAAAAATTGCTAAAGGATCCAAAGTATCTCGATGAGTACAACCGAAATATTGAAGAGCAATTGGCTACCGGAATAGTAGAAGAAGTTCTTCCAAGCGATAAGGATCAGAAAAACATTCACTATCTTCCACATCACGGTGTCATTCGAAAGGATAAGGCCACCACCAAATTACGTGTCGTGTACGACGGATCAGCGAAAACGGAGACGCGTAACTACTCACTTAATGACTGTTTGCTTACTGGTCCCAACCTCATTCCACAAATTTTTGACTTGCTTGTAAAGTTTAGGCAAAATCCGGTTGGATTGGTGGCGGACATTGAGAAAGCGTTCTTAATGATCGGAATCAACGAAGAAGATAGGAATATGCTAAGATTTTTATGGTTAAAAGATGCTAAAGATCCACACTCTGAAATTCTGAAGCTTAGATTTTGTCGGTTGGTGTTTGGCTTACGGCCCTCTCCGGCAATCTTGGGAGCCACCATTCAGCATCAACTAGAAACACACGAGAAGCAGAAACCAGAAATTGTTGAACATATGTCGATGATTTTGTATCGGGAGCTGAAAATGATGAAAGGGCACTAGAAATCTACAAGGGTTCGAAGCAGTTGATGAGTACAGGAGGATTCAATTTACGAAAATGGAGTTCGAATTCTGATAATGTAGTTAAGGCCATCGATGCATTGGAAAGCAGCGGAACAATGAATAGTTCAACCAATAGTAAGTCCGACGTTGTTCAAGAGGACTTGTCATATACAAAGTCGACAATTGCAAAGGAATCCACTGTAACTGAGCCCACACAAGTGAAGGTCCTGGGTATGGCATGGGACACTGCTGAAGATACGTTTTTGTTCCATTTGGAGGAACTGGTCGAGTACGCAAAATCACTTCCGGTTACGAAGAAATCATTGTTAAAGTGGTCATCAAAGATCTTTGATCCGTTAGGATTTTTATCTCCGTTTACGATAAAGCTTAAGATTTTATTTCATGTAATGTGCTTGGATAAAATTGACTGGGACGGTGAATTGCAAGGAGATGCACGTAAGCAGTGGGATGCTTTGATATCAGAGCTAGAATTCCTTAAAACGGTCCGAGTGCCAAGATGTTATTATCTTTCCAATCAGAATCATCTCATTACGCAAATTCACGGATTTAGCGATGCGTCCAAGCGTGCAATTGGTGCAGTTGTCTACACAAGAACAGTTTACGAGAACAGTCGCGTTGACGTGAAATTAATGGCATCGAAAACAAGAGTTGCGCCTG